CACCAAAAATGCTACACGGAAAATACACCCCCCAAGATTTTGCATCAAAACGGACGGCTCCCGTTCAAGAAGCCATAGCGGAGTTTCGGACCTGGTCTTCTAGGGCCTTTGGGCGATGCCCTGAAAAGAAAAGGGCCCATAGGCGTCCTTTTTGGTTGTTTTGGTCGAACAAGTAGATGGGTTTCGATTCCTGGTTTACCTGGTTTAGTCATCTACCAGGGCCTATTGCCCTAGAAGGACACCTATGAAAGGGCCGTTGTCGCCGTGGTAGAATCGGTTGGTTTTTCCGAACCGATCCAGGCCTCTAGGCTGCAAGATGCTTTTGGGCGATCGGACGAGCTAGGCCACAACTTTTCGGAGCCCGTGAATGGGGTTGTGTGAGCTTAGCTAGGCCCCCCATTGCCCTTCTCTCCCCTTCTGGGGAGGGGTCCCCTACTAAACATGGACTACAGAAAAAAGGGTACCCTTATTCTAACCTCTCTACTGGAGGACCTAGTTAGGGGTTGAGAGTTTGCATTCCTTTTAGCAAAAGACACGTGGACGTGGCGAGGGTCAGAAGAAACCTTAGCCTTGGAACTGCATCCAGTTGCTGTCATGTGCTGTGCACTGGACGTGAGTTGCTCATGTTAGGCTTGTGCAAGTCGTGTGCCGCTTGCTGATGGTTGCATTTGTCACCAAAGCGGGCTACGCACTTCCGGTCTTACCCTTTCACTTGCGTCACGGAACATAGGGATGACGCGAAAGCCCTTCGACTGACAAGTTCCAACCCGGTGCGAAATCAAACAGATTCAACCAACAGGTACCACAAAGCAACCTTCAAGACCCATGCGTGCGTGCGTGCGTGGGTGCGTGGGTGCGTGGGTGCGTGGGTGCGTGGGTGCGTGGGTGCGTGCGTGCGTGCGTGCGTGGGTGCGTGGGTGCGTGCGTGCGTGGGTGCGTGGGTGCGTGGGTGCGTGGGTGCGTGGGTGCGTGGGTGCGTGGGTGCGTGGGTGCGTGGGTGCGTGGGTGCGTGGGTGCGTGGGTGCGTGGGTGCGTGGGTGCGTGGGTGCGTGGGTGCGTGTGCGTGCGTGCGGGTGCGTGGGTGGGTGGTGGTGTGTGTGAGTTGTCTGTGTTGTGAGTGTGTCCTGTGTGTGTGTGTGTGTGTCTGTGTGTCTGTGTGTGTCTGTGTGGTGTGTCTGTGTGTGTGTGTGTGTGTTGTGTGTGTGTGTGTGTGTCTGTGTGTGTGTGTGTGTGTGTGTGTGTGTGTGTGTGTGTGTGTGTGTGTGTGTGTGTGTGTGTGTGTGTGTGTGTGTGTGTGTGTGTGTGTGTGTGTGTGTGTGTGTGTGTGTGTGTGTGTGTGTGTGTGTGTGTGTGTGTGTGTGTGTGTGTGTGTGTGTGTGTGTGTGTGTGTGTGTGTGTGTGTGTGTGTGTGTGTGTGTGTGTGTGTGTGTGTGTGTGTGTGTGTGTGTGTGTGTGTGTGTGTGTGTGTTTGTGTGTGTGTTTGTGTGTGTGTGTCCGTGCGTGCGTGCGTGCGTGTGTGTGTGTCAAGGAATAGAAACCAAAGGAAAACGGGGGACCGCCAAAACACGGGCAGATTTTTGTTCAAATACTCGTACCCGATGTGGAAGCCGACCCTTAGGAAGTGAACGACGGCATGGCACATCCTCGGATTGCCCTCTGAGCTGGGCTCCGTCTTTTTCAGGCCCGGAAAGGCGCCCCTTCCATTCGGTTGGGTTAGATGTTCCGAACTGCAAATCACAAGGTCCTGTACATGGGAGGACCATCGGAGAACCACCAAAAAGAAGACTTTAGCGTATATGTTCTGTTTCCTTTTGGCCACCAAAAAGATGAATTCACCATGTGGTATGCCTATTTCTCCCGCTGGTTTCAAATGGAATCTATCAATTACTGGTCATTTTTCACGGACACGAGCATTACTTTGTTTAAAGTATAATTGGTACGACAGCTTGGCATTGGTATGGATTAAAGTGCAACCACATTCTAGTTATTTAGGCCACCAAGTCGCATTTCTTTCAGCATGTTGCCAGGGCCATCTCCCACTTCCTTTTAAGAGGTTTGTGTGTCCATTCCATCCGCATCTTTGTCATAGCAATCGCGTGCCACCCGGACTTCCCTCGTATACCGTTGGCTTGAAAACCAACTTGGTGGACCAGGGTCCACGTCCCAACTCAAGCCGGGCGCCAAGACAGCTTGAGAGCTGTTTGTTTGAACTATCTGAGTGCACCAACTGGGCGTGTGTCTGTTTAACCCTTTGGATTTGAAGGGACAACCGCCAGTCCACGGGATGGATTTCAGGGGACAACGGGGTTGAGTCCACTGTTCGACTTCGGGGTTGAGTTTGGTTTGCCTCGAGGCTTTTTTGTCCAGCACCCTTCCCCTATCAAAGCCACCTAAAAGGTAGGCCTTCTTGTGTACATTTTAGAAAGCAGCAAAACAAGACATAGGCAAATGGCAACGACTGAAATGCTCTTCGCGACGACACGAGATGCTCCCCCTTTTGTTTGAACCGCGATGCAGTTTGAGCCCAAGAGATTCTTTTAGCTTTAAATTAGATGTGGAGGTGGTCATATGGAGGTTTCTCAATTTGACCCCCTTTTATAATAGTTAAAAAAAAAGAAGAGAACAAACACATGGACATCCACCGTTCCGGTGCCCCTATCTTGGAGAGAGACCCATATCAAACGCCATTTGAACGGCAAGGAGTGTGTCGAACGGAGTTACCATATCCTTTTTGCGGGGGCCACACTGGAGAGCCAGTCACGTCATAGCATTCTTTTGGACCTAAACCCTGGTACACTCCCCGGGAGACAAAAAGTAACTTTGGTGCATTTTGCTTGGATTTGACTTTTTGCCAACGAATAGGTTTTCCGTATCAACGCCGTATTAAACCACTAAAAGTTTAAACTTTTAGCAGGGGAGCAGAAAGCAACCGAGGTAAGCATGCCAAGCAAAAGGAGTTCGCGATCAGAAGCTCAATCAAGATGCCTTCCTCGGTCGATCAGTTGGCCTCGAATATGGCTGGCATGTTGTAGCTGGGGCGGGAGTGCAGCATGTGCTTTGGCAACAGCCCAGTGCATGAATCTTCTGAGGTGACATGCTGCATTTGCCTTGCTCTAGTAGGGCCGGCGAAGCTTCGCCGTGGGTTTGTCTCAAAAAAAGGTAACTCTTGAAATTGGTGGGTGTGCTTTTGTTTCCCTTTAAAGCCACCCCCAAAATTGGGTACCCTAAAAAAAGCCTTGGTGGGTGTGCATTTGTTTCCCATTTCAGCCACCACCAAAAATTGGGTACCCTAAAAAAAACCCGAGCCATGATGAAAGTTGCCGCATGCCTCAAACATCCCGGTGAATGCCAACCCAAATCCTCGGATCTGGGCCTTGTGCTTCCGATTTGGCTCCAGAAGGGAAGCTGATCGGTCCGTTGAAAAACGGGACTTTTGCAAGCTCCACTTGTGAATTTGAATGGTTGGAACACCAACTCCCAACTGGCTGCGCAAATGCCCAAGCTTTTATTTGATCCAAAGGGGCTGAAGTGCCATGTTGTTGCTTCTGTTTGGATCATTTTGTTTGCCCCAAGCTAAGGAGTTGGGCTCAACCCCTAGCCAGTTGGGTTAGAGTCCGAGCATTTGGAATTCAACGGGAGGTTTCACCTTCGGTCGGCTTTGCAAAAGCCTCGGAGCACAGAAAGAGAGTCAGAAAACAAGACGAGATCACGAAAGCCGGGAGACGGGAGCCGCTTGGCGATCCATCGGCCAGTGAAACGCTTCGCAGATGGCTGTGTCTCTTTTTTGAGTTGGTACCTTGTGGGTTGCTTCAAAAGGGAAGCTCAAGGGGAAAAAACGATTTTGTACCCCTTTTGGGTTGGTTCAAAAGGGAAACTCAAGGGGAGAAAACGATTTTGTACCCCTGTTAGGCTGGTTCAATAGGGAAACTCAAGGGAAAAACGATTTTGTACCCCTTTTGGGTTGGTTTAAAAGGGACACTTAAGGAGCACACCGCCGATTTTGGGAATTCTTCGAAGTAGAGAAACTCAAAGGATGCCAATGGGCTTCTTGGGGCAGGATAAAGTTCATAGCCGGACTGCCCCCCTGGATGGGATTGATTCCACGGTGCCCTTCTTCCCTGGGCGTTCGATATGGTACTTGCTGTTTCCATTTCCAGTCATGCGGTTTCCGTTTCGGTGTTCCTTTTCCGAGCGATTCCCCGAGAATCCCTGTTTTTTGCATAGGCTTTAGTTTAGGCGTTTGCAACCAGGCAAGGTTTGGGGAATGAGAATTCACTTCAAGCTGCCCGGATTTGCTTCATCGCGATGCACTCCCGCGAGGGTTCAAGGCAATGTGAAACACATACTCGAGAAGATTCGTCCACGCCTGATTTTCAACATGGACCCCTCCCGCATTCACCGGTTCCCAAGAAGAATTGAGCAGTTCTCAGCCTTCAGATTCTCAAGTTGTCCGTTTCATGGGCGGCTTTCCGCATTGAGGCATCGGAAGGTCCTGATTTGCTTTTTCGGATGCGCTCATCGCATGTTTAGGGCAATGCTTTGGGAACGTGAAACAAGAGAGGACTGACGTATGATTATGGCACGGGGAAGAAAGACAAGTGCAAAAAGCAGCAGCATAGATGGACAACACGTTCGTGGCGTTTGTGCCTTTTCTTTCGGTTGTGGATTTGTTTACCCAAAGAAAACACATGGAACACACTCATTTGGGGAGGAGTCTAAGCCCACCTCAATCCTTCAAGCCCAACCTTTCAAATGGGGAAAACTGCTTGGACCAAGCTTGTTCAGTTTTCCCAAGCTCGAAAACCCCAGCTTTTGAGATGGCAACACACCATCCAACAGGGGGTCCAGCTTGTAGCCTCAATTGTGTATTCTCCTGAGCAAGCATTATAAGGCTGTGGCTCAAATAAATGGTTCCCAAAATCGCACCTTGGAAAATGAAACCAAAGACTAAAAAGGCTTTAGGCTCTTTCATTTTGAGCCACACCCAAATTTAAAAATAGAACACCCCAAGCAAGACGACACAACTCGCGCCATGAAGCGCTCCTTCCAGAACGCCTTTGGCAAAGGTGGAGGCCCGTCGGTGACGGGAGACTTGATATGGGTGAGTGTGTGTGTGTGTGTGTGTGGCCCCCTATGTTCGCACCACGCATTTCTGTGTTAAAGCTGCCCAGCCCAGACAAATGTGTCCTGTTTATCGCACTGGGCAAGTGGGGTCATGGTTGGGGACAGGCTCGAAGGTGTATACTGATGCGAGATGTGCTGCAAGTGAAAATGTTGCCAGAATTGGGGTGCAAGGTGTTTGCGAGGATATCAGCTTGTCTCCATCTGCGGGAACCTGGTCCTATCCCACAGCCCGCAAAAGAGCGCAACCAATGATTGTGACACCTATGCGAAGTCCCCATCTTCGTGAACCCACCGAATATTTCAGGCGCCTCGGAAACAAAACCTGCGCCACCGAGCTGAAAACCCTTTTGAACGGGCCCAGTATTAACATTTGGGCCTGTTTCGTGGCAAGTGTGTGTGTGGAGCAAAAATGTGGGCCATGTTTGGGGGTGGATTTAAAGGAAAACACAAGGGACACCACATGGCCCTTCTGGGTCGCAAGTGTTGCCAGGTGACAATGCAAGGGCTCCGCAAAGCTGCGGATTTTAGACAACAACTGTGTGTTTTCTCATTTGCCCATGCCATTATAACTAGATTAATTAGAAGAACTACCAGCTCATCTTTCCTCACTAAGTTCCATTTGAATTATAACTAAATTCCAATTAGAATCCTACTGCGCAAGGGATTCCTATTGGAATATCATTCAATATGAACTGTCCCATTGACGTATAATCAACATTCTACTTGGAAAAGAGTTCCTATATAAAAACTATTTAAACCTACTAGTTCCATTTCAATTCTATTCGAATCCTTACTTTGATACGAATTCCTACTGGTATTCAAAATCTAGTTCAAGAGAATATTTTCAATTGAACTCTAATGAACGTCCGAGCTAAACTTAAAGCCTTGCAATTTCAACTGTGTAAACCAATGGAACTGAAAGAAACCACCAGCGCGTCTTTCCTTATTAGATCTTATTTATATTCCATCTAAATTACGAAGAAAAGACTTACTTGGCAGGGACTTCCTTTCTAATGTCTAATTCCAATAAGAATTTTAATTAAGCTAATCAGAAGGTGAATCCATTGCCGGCCAGCCGTTGAGCTTCATCCACAGTCGGCAGATCCGGCCAGGCAGCCACCGGACTCGATCCGTGGCATTCGGCGTAAGGTGATCCACCGGGACATTCAGAGTCCCAACATCCTCCTGCAGGGCAGCGTGGCAAAGGAGTAAAAAATATCAACCTGGCTCGTTGGCTGCCGATTTTGGCGCTAGGTCTGCGACTTTGCCCTCAGCGCGGAGGACGACCGGTATGCTGGTATATAGGAGATTGACGGCTCGGGGGTCGGAGACGCCGGACGGGGTCGGAATTGGCATGGAGCCCAACGTCGGGACCTGGCAGTGGATGGCGCCAGAGGTCCCGAGCGGACGTTACGACCACAAGGCGCACTCACCTTGAAATTGGGGCAGTTGGCTGCAGGTTCGTGCCATTTCGCCCTTGGGGATGACTTGGCAATCGGCACTGGTGACAACTATGTCTCAGCACTTGTCCCGCAGGCGGACGTCTATAGTTATGCTATCCTCCTGTTGGAGATGGTGACCCGCAAGATCCCCTATGAAGGCGCTCTTCTCACCTTTTCTCCTTGTGCCCTCCCCCCAATTCTCCGAGAAAGCTTTTGTTGCAACACCTGCGTGTTTCGCTTCTTCGTGGTCAGGAGAAGAGAGCGTCGCCTTCTTCGACGTCTTGGCCGGCAGACACCCACATGTTCCCAGCCACTATCAGGCGGTCGAGTGAGCAGTCGAATATGTAGAGTGAGCGCGATTTGCTTTTTGTTAGGGCTGCCTGCTGTACACCATCATGACGCACTGCTGGGACAGCCGTTCGGGGCTGAAGCCTAGAGTCCTAGAGACATGAAGACTGAAAGCAGCTAATCATGGGAAGTGGCCGATTCATGCAATGCCCCTGACATTTCTACTATAAAGGGGTGATTGGAATTGCAGATGGCCCAAAACCGAAGTTCCTGTTTGTTGCTGAGGGCCCAGCGAGCGGCCGGACTTCGGGCGGGAGTGCTTCTGATGCTGCGCGTGTGCCAGTTTGCCCTGGCCTGGCAAGCGGTAGAGACGCGCCATTTAGCCCCTGAGACACTGAACGCGAAGCCAATTTGTGCCTTCAGCTTCAAAACCATGTGCGGGCAATCCAATGACAGGGGAGGGCAAAAGTGCCGCTGCGTTGCCTGATGATGCTTGATGCTTAGTTGATGCTTAGGGGGCAACACGGGGGGCCTAACTCGGACTCTTGCGTGGCAACAAGGGCGATTTGTGGTGTATCTTCTGCACGCACTAGCAGGTGCATGTCACTACGGGTGTCCAACTTAAATGGCCGTCCGGCTCGTGCTACTCATGTGGGAGCTGTTCCACAAGCGCATTTGCGCCGTTGTGTTTTTGTGTCTTTTGTTTGTTCGCTTTTCTGTCTATCTGTTTGTCTGTTTGGTCTGCTTATGTGGGAGCCTTTCTGCAACCGCATTCCTGGGGGGGATACGCCTGCCACACATGTGTATGCTACGCAGGCTTTGTTGTGGGTTTGCCCAGTGCTGGAACCACATAGACAATGTTTGATCCTGATCTAGGAGTTGTGGCGTCCGGTCCAAGGGGTTCAAGTTTTGCAAAACTCGGTCTGCGTCCCGGTCCTTGGGAAAGCCCTACTAAAGTCTGAAGGGCTTGAAAGCTATACAGACTACTGGCTGAACACCCTAGAATCCTAACGGCTCAAGCTCTTCAAGTCTTAATTGCGTAAAGTCTTAAAGTCTTAACGCCTAAAATGCAATGTGCTTATTGTTGGCTTAAAATCAGAAAACATTATTGGCGAGTTAAACTCTGAAGAACTTTTCTGGCTCGCATAGCATCTCACAGTCTTAGTGCCTGAGCCTGTTAAAGTATTAATGATTTAAAGTCTGAACATCTCAGTGGCTCGAAATCTTAAACTACTATGGCTAGGCGTCTTCAGATCCAAACGGCTTGAAAATTCAAAATATGAATTACTTAACATTATAAAAACTTACTGGCTTCATGTGTCACTTGTGTGTGTGTGCGTGTGTGTGTGTGTGTGGGTGTGTGGGTGCGTGTGTGTGGGTGCGTGCGTGCGTGCGTGCGTGCGTGCGTGCGTGCGTGCGTGCGTGTGTGGGTGTGTGCGTGCGTGCGTGCGTGCGTGCGTGCGTGTGTGGGTGTGTGCGTGCGTGCGTGCGTGCGTGCGTGCGTGCGTGCGTGCGTGCGTGGGTGGGTGGGTGGGTGGGTGGGTGTGCGCGTGCGTGTGTGTGTGTGTGTGTGTGTGTGTGTGTGTGTGTGTGTGTGTGTGTGTGTGTGTGTGTGTGTGTGTGTGTGTGTGTGTGTGTGTGTGTGTGTGTGTGTGTGTGTGTGTGTGTGTGTGTGTGTGTGTGTGTGTGTGTGTGTGTGTGTGTGTGTGTGTGTGTGTGTGTGGTGTGTGTGTGTGTGTGTGTGTGTGTGTGTGTTTGTGTGTGTGTGTGTGTGTGTGTGTGTTTGTGTGTGTGTTTGTGTGTGTTTGTGTGTGTGTGTGTTTTGTGTGTGTTTGTGTGTGTTTGTGTGTGTGTTTGTGTGTGTGTGTGTGTTTGTGTGTGTGTTTGTGTGTGTGTGTGTGTGTGTGTGTGTGTTTGTGTGTGTGTTTGTGTGTGTGTGTTGTGTGTGTGTGTGTGTGTGTGTTTGTGTGTGTGTTTGTGTGTGTGTTTGTGTGTGTGTTTGTGTGTGTTTGTGTGTGTGTTTGTGTGTGTTTGTGTGTGTTTGTGTGTGTTTGTGTGTCTGTGTGTGTCTGTGTGTGTGTCTGTGTGTGTCTGTGTGTGTCTGTGTGTGTCTGTGTGTGTCTGTGTGTGTGTGTGTGTGTTTTGTTGATTTATTTACTTCCCTATGTTCTGATTTGATGTTGTTTCCCGTGCTTAGCTTATGTTATTGTATTTTGTTTTATCGTATTTTCCCCAACAGCTGAAAGCTTTGGGGCCTCAGCCCAGATAGGCTCCGGGGTGGTCCGGGGCGGCCCTGAGGTAAGGTTCCACGAGGGTTCCACCAGGGTTCCACCAGGGCTTTACCAGGGTTCCACCAGGGTTCCACCAGTTCCACGAGGGTTCCACGAGGTTCTGCGAGCACCGCATGCTGTTGGGGATGTCACCTGAGCTTCTTTTTTTGGCAGCACTTCATGAGATTTTTTGTCTCCCTCAAAATGTCTTGGAGACGATCCCAAGACCCACTTTGTTTTATACCTTTGTTTTTCAGCTTTGTTTACCATCCACCGAAACTATTCTTTGAACACCTTTCCCATTCTCCTTGAACTCCCTATCTTTTCCTTGAACTCCTTTCTCCAGCCCCCCCCAACTCCCCCGTCGACGTGTTACAGCACCACGTAGGCCAATGGCAGCCGCCGCCCGGCTGGCGACCTCCGCAGGCCCGGAACCGGAACCTGCAAATGACTTCCGGAACTTTTGGGGCGGCCCTTTCTTGCAGAGGGGGAGCTCTGACTTAAAACGCGAGAAGATCTGCACCCTTTTTTGGGGAGTCCCCTCAAGTTGGGGGGGCTGTTGGGGAGAATTCTGAGCTCTGCACCTTTGAGGCGGGGGCTGTGGGGCTCTGAAAATTACGGCGGGGGACTTAAATGGTTGGTGTGCATGAATGCGCAGATGATGTCCACGGATCGCCAGCTTAAATTCACACAGAGCAGCGGGTCACCCAGAATGGTTGGTTTGTCTTTGTTTCGAACAACTCAAAAGCCCACCATTTTGACAAGCTCCCACATACATGTTATTTCATTCAGTGAATCCACGGACCCATCTTCACATCTTGTATTGGTTGCTTCCTGAACCACGCATGAGTTGGACCTTAGATAGAGATAGTTTCTAACAAATGAGTTCCTTCTCATGCCATGCGCGTCATTGATTTTTGGTGGCAAGCGGAACCCGCTTGCGACCTCTTAAGCGGGGTCTTACACTTGAGCGGTAGCAATCCCCCATTTTGAACAAAGGAATAAAGGCAAGGAGACACAGCTTCCATTTGCTTAAGATTTCCCTGCTGGTTTGAGCACAGATCTATCACTACCAGATCTCAGAGGACATGATAGGAACTCCGGATTGACCCCTTGAGCTTGCTCGATGGCGGCGTCGCGCTGGGTTTGGCCAAGCCTCGTTTGTACATGTTTAGACCACCCATTGTCTACACATTTGCGCCATGCTCAAGTTCCTTTCCACTTGGGGTTACCAGGGAGGCATGGTCGTCCACCTGGCAGTAAGGATCCTTAATAACCATTCTAATGGTTCCTGTTAACGCAACCCATAGGACACTTGTCGTGGCTTCGCTTTGAACGGAACGGTGGGCAATGCCTTGGCATCTTTAAATCGCCAGGCGATGGCCATTCCCGGCGTCTGCGGCGCAAAAGTGGGCGAGGCCGGGATGCGAGTTGAATCTCCCGACGTTGCCATGGGTGCTGGAAGACGATTTTCCTTCAAAAGGGACGCCTTTGGTGGGTATTGGGGGGAAGGCCTAAGAAAGGGTGACTCAAACTGAAAGCCAGGAGGCCTGGCACCCGTTCCATTCCGAGTTTTGAGCCGAATGATTCGCCCGATCAAGTGCAAGTTGCGAATTGGGAACAAGCAAAAGTCGGTTTCACAGGAACTGATGTCTCTGAGTTGTCCAAGACCAGGTTCGAGACAGCGAGTGGAACTGCCAGCTTGGGCCTCTGAAGGTATTGAGGATGGGGAAAGTTCCGGCGAGAAAGCTGGTTGCTCAAGAACCTGTGGCGTCGCAGACCGTACAGGAGTCACGGACCTGGGAGCCGGCATGGTCTGGGTGTCAGCCTACCAGCATTGCTACTCTCGTACCTCAGAGCTGAAGGCGGCGAAAGTGGCCAGAGAGAGAGGATCCTGATGCATATGCAACGCATCCGGTTCCTTTCCGGATTCCTGGAATGTGTGGAGGGGGGGAGGGAAGGTTGTTGTGTTCTCGGGCTCGGCTTTGGTGTTGCTTGGAGGTGTCATGACCATTTCGAGTGCCACTCGGATCCGCTGAGTAGTGGTGTGCTGCTGGCCAAACAACTCAAGCATTTCACGAAACGGGGGCTGAAATGTCCAAATCACCAATCCCAAGCCACGGATAAAGGTGAAAAGCGTCCCATGAATTCTCGGAGAGCCACTGTCCAAATTCAGCCCTTGAGGTTCAGATTTGCAGGCTGCACATGGGCCTCTCGTGCCGACCGATTTCTTTGACGGCCTCCGAGTCAGTCCCCGCTTCTCTGTTCGCCCAAATTGACAAAACAGATGTGAGCACGCACCGCCACCCCCCAATGAGGCCAGCAGTCTTTGTTGCCCCTTTGAGAATGATCAACAAAAAGCTCAAAATCGGATTTGGTCCCCTAAAATGGTTGATTTCCTAGGGTTCCGAATCCCATTTGGAAAAGCCTGCTTATGACCGTATGTTGAAAGGGCTCATGGAGGCTTGAGTTCCCTTCCGACTCTATTGAGCTCTAGGAGTCATGTTGCATCAGAGCCCCTCGCGGAGAGAACGGAACCGTTGGACTCTCTGTGTTCAAATGTGACCTGCCTTTCGGTTTGAATGATGGGAAACACCCAATATAGGTTTGTCTATGTTCACGTACCCTCCAAACTAGAGACACGTTGTTGCTTTTTTGTTGGCCAAGAACGTGAGAGACTGTTACGAGCTGGAGTTCTCTTTTAGGTAACCCCTAGTTGATGGTTTGGATTGGTTTGGGCATGTTGAACCCTTGCTTGTTGTCGAGGGTTACATCAAACCGGGCTCCAAACCACCAATTATAGGGGGCAACCCAGATCTCCTAGGTCCCCCCGTAGTGCCCATCTCTCTCCTTTTTTGGGGGGAGGGTGCCCCTAAATAGACGATTCGGAAAAACGAAACGGTACCAACTTTTTCTAGCGTAGGGTGTTTTTAGCGCCTTTTTGTTCGTGTTTCTGTTGTCCGGAGTGCTTTGATGGTTTGGGTATTTTGGGTGTTTGTTCTTATTCTCTTGCCTTTTTTGTCGGAGGGTGCCCCTAAATAGACGATTCGGAAAAAAGAATCGGTACCAACTTGTTCTAGCGTAGGGTGTTTTTAGCGCCTTTTTGTTCGTGTTTCTGTTGTCCGGAGTGCTTTGATGGTTTGGGTATTTTGGGTGTTTGTTCTTATTCTCTTGCCTTTTTTGTCGGAGGGTGCCCCTAAATAGACGATTCGGAAAAAAGAATCGGTACCAACTTGTTCTAGCGTAGGGTGTTTTTAGCGCCTTTTTGTTCGTGTTTCTGTTGTCCGGAGTGCTTTGATGGTTTGGGTATTTTGGGTGTTTGTTCTTATTCTCTCCCCTTTTTTGTCGGAGGGTTCCCCTAAATAGACGGTTCAGAAAAAAGACGAAATGGTACCAACTTATTCTATGGTAGGGTGTTTTTGGCGTCTTTTTTTTCGTGTTTTTGTGGTCCGGAGTGCTTTGATGGTTTGGGTATTTTTGGGTGTTTGTTCTTATTCTCTCCCCTTTTTTGTCGGAGGGTTCCCCTAAATAGACGATTCGGAAAAACGATACGGTACCAACTGTTTCTAGGGTAGGGTGTTTTTAGCGCCTTTTTGTTCGTGTTTCTGTTGTCCGGAGTGCTTTGATGGTTTGGGTATTTTGGGTGTTTGTTCTTATTATCTTGCCTTTTTTGTCGGAGGGTGCCCCTAAATAGACGATTCGGAAAAAAGAAACGGTACCAACTTGTTCTAGGGTAGGGTGTTTTTAATTGCCTTTTTGTTCGTGTTTCTGTGGTCCGGAATGCTTTGCTGGTTTGGGTATTTTGGGTGTTTGTTCTTATTCTCTCCCCTTTTTTGTCGGAGGGTTCCCCTAAATAGACGGTTCAGAAAAAAGACGAAATGGTACCAGCTTATTCTAGGGTAGGGTGTTTTTGGCGCCTTTTTTTTCGTGTTTTTGTGGTCCGGAGTGCTTTGATGGTTTGGGTATTTTGGGTGTTTGTTCTTATTATCTTGCCTTTTTTGTCGGAGGGTGCCCCTAAATAGACGATTCGGAAAAAAGAAACGGTACCAACTTGTTCTAGGGTAGGGTGTTTTGAATTGCCTTTTTGTTCGTGTTTCTGTGGTCCGGAATGCTTTGCTGGTTTGGGTATTTTGGGTGTTTGTTCTTATTCTCTCCCCTTTTTTGTCGGAGGGTTCCCCTAAATAGACGGTTCAGAAAAAAGACGAAACGGTACCAACTTATTCCAGGGTAGGGTGTTTTTAATTGCCTTTTGTTTCGTTTTTCTGTGGTTTTTGGAGTGCTTTGCGGGATGGTTTGGGTATTTTGGGTGACCATGGTCTGCCGTTTCCACTGTTTGTGGGAGAAATAAGCCGTTTTCCCGGGTAGTGTAGAAACCCTTTTCGAGGGAGGCGGTTCATTTCGGTCGAAAAGGCAAACCACGTGGGTGTTTGTTCTTCTAAGCTCTCAGATCTGGAGGAAGTCTCCGAAATCGTCAGGTGCGCTTCGAGGCTTGGGAGGCGGCGCAGAAAGCGCTGCAGGACGCGGAGAAAGAGCTAAAAACTGCTCGGGACCGGAGGCGTTGCAACGGACACGGGCGTCGTTCTTGTTTGTTTCTTGGGAAGGTGTTTTTTTGTTTTTTTCCTGTTTTTTTTGCGGAAGCGGACGGAACCATTCCGTTCCTTTCATCCCGGGATTTCATCGCTTCCCCCTAAAAATTGAAATCCTCCCACCAGCACCGCCCGAGTGCTGCCAAATTGGCGTCACTTAGGGGTAAAACACAAACATCGTCACTTTTTGGCTAAGTGATGCTTTGCTGAATTTTCGCAAACCCCCTAAAATCGGACGGATATACAAGGGCAGGGGCGGGGCAAAAAGGCAGTGTGACCTGCGTATTGCCCCGTGTCGCCCCGCGTTGTCCCATGCTGCTTCTCGCTAAGTTTTCAGAAGCCTTTGCTAGCAATTTTGTCCAGATCTATAGGCTCACAGTGGGGGTGGCAAATATGCAGACAGTTCTTATGGCCGCTGGGCTTGGAAAATGCTTAGCAGACTCAGCTGCCATGAATGGGCTGAGAATGGTCTCCAAACTGGTGGGTTGTAGACCTGAGTGCTGCCGATTGCATTTTTTCACAAGTGCCTTCAAATTGGCGGCACTTTCACAAACTTGAGAACAACGGTCGTTGGGTGGTCCTGGCAGGTAATAACTAGTTTTTTGGAATTCCCAGGATGAATCGCTTCGCCCTGTTAAATCCCGCCCCAATAGAGTGCACAGGTATGTGTTTTTGCCGATGGCGCTTTGTGGGCTTTGTCACTTCCAATTCGAAGGCGAAAATGCAACTACAATGTTGAATTTGAGTTTGCAATTCAACGACGGGAAGTGCTGAAATCACTCCTATAAACGAGAAGTCAGGAGTTTAGTATTGATTTAGTATTGGGTGAATTAAAAGTAAACAGGGAGCGGCCTTTTTTAGTTTTGGGTCTGAACAACATACTTGTGAATAGGGGGGTGGATTTATTCACCCATCCTGTTAGCTGTTAATAGATTGGTGCAACCTACAAAAGTGAAGGATTGCCACCAAATGGGAACACCGCCCTATTACTCAACCAGGGGATTGTTATTCCGGGGTCAAACCCAGCTTCTCTTTCTTTAACCGCCCCAAAAGGTAGCTTGAAATAAGCATCCCCAACAGCATGCGGCGCTCCTTTTCGACCCTCGTCGAACCCTACCTCAGAACCCTCGCGGAACCCTGCTGAACCTTAGCCGGACCACCCATGAGCCTATCTGGGCGTTGAGGAAAACTGACACGCGCACACACACACACACATCATAATTGTCCCTTCTGGTAGTTGTTGGGAAATGGGGTGTTTCTCGGACCCCCTCAGCTGGTGAAAGCGAATCAAGAGGAGAAGCCACCCAAATGGACCCTTGGAGAAACACTCGTAGGGGTTTTCGAGAGAATGCAGGGTTTCCTGAAGAACCCGCAAAAAGACGGGGGTTGGGATAGCTTGGGGAAGTTGAAAGGGAGTGTGAGCTCGTCGAGCAGGAGTGAACAAGAGCGGCTCACGCACTCATGAAGGATTCTCTCTTTGACTGACATTTTAGCTTTTACATATGCAAGAACACCTTCAACTAATTTTAATGGCACATGTTGGCAAACTCCCTTTTTGGATGGAGGGCGCCAACAACAAGATGCATGTGGATTTCTCTCGGCTAGCTCCCAGTTAAACGTGTGGCTATGGCCTCTTGTTTGAGGCTGTCCGTTTTGGGGGTGGTTGGAAGGGACACGTTGGAAGTTTCTATTTGGAGTTTCATGAGACACCCTCACGGGGCTGCCCCGCAGCACACCTCCCACAAGAGGGCAAGGGCTCACTCGAAATCCTAGCCTACGAGTTGGAACCACCTGAAAAGCGGTCGTTGAGATGAATCCCCGATTTTCTGCTACCCAGTGCCAACGGATCCTTTGCGATGGCGTCCTTCCAAACGGTCAGTCCATTGAGGCCATGTGACAAAGACCAAGTGGGACCGATCCTTGGGCTTGGCTTAAGGCGGCCGTTGTATCCCGGCCGGCGAGTTCCAAGCGGTTGGTTTCCCCAGCGCTGGATTCCCGAGCTCCGAGCGAGAGCTGGCGCCAGGAGCTGGACGGCTTGGAGCTCATGGGCCGACAGGTTCGGGTGAAGGCGCCGGCGGAAGAAGCGCCGATTCGACCGGTTTCGCGGCTTCGCGGTCTGTCTCGCGCAAAAGAGCGCGAAAGAGCGCGCGCGGCGGGGGGTTTGGGTGTTGGGCTTTGGGTGTGGGGCCCGTTTTTTTTTGGGTTAAGAAGAACAAATAAGGCGAAGGGCAGCTTTTGAAGGTTTTTGGAAGGAGAAGCCAACAATTTGACGGGAGACCAACTTCTTTTTTTCAAGGGACACAAACAACAAAAACAAAAACCTGACACCTCGCAACCAGAATCGCCGAGATGGCGGACTGCTTCGCCCACGATACTCCATGCAACCCATCACACATGCAAAGACGAAGGTCTCGTTTCAAGTAAATGACACCCCTAGACACCAATGGTCCAACGATGACCCAACAGCAACTTGCTCTACATGGGGCGCACGGATGTCTACCTGCCTCTGTTCCTTGCGCGCTTCGATGCATCGGATTCCTCTGCCACGACAAAGGATCACCTGGAGATGGATGCAAGGTGAGTCACAAATTTGAACGTGGTGTTTCTCTCACTTCTCCCATTTGGTTGAGTTTCGCTAAGCACATCTTCAAAGTTGTTTTCAGTTTTTTGTCAAGTTCAGCATTTGTTGTTTCAACTTGTTCTCGTCCTCCCGCGCAAGTGGCTGTGGGTCAAAACCAATGGTACCATTTTGGGGTAGGTGAATTCACCACCCATTTTAGTCTATTTTAGTGGGGATTGAATCGGGACGGGATTTTGAGCCATGGTCAAGTGAGCCATAATCAAAACCCGGGTAGATGAAGGTTAGGGGGCAGTCCCAGCCAGAAATATTTGCGAATATCCGCCTTCTTAATTCTTGAAGCATGGTTCTGGGTTCACCATGTTTGTACCAGGTTGCGATTGTGGCTCAAGTGAGACTTGTCCCCTCTTCCAACGGATCCAACGGATCGCCTCGCCTCGCATCGCCAGGCAGATATGACCTCACAGGACCAGACCAAGGTCTTAGCCATCAACCTGCCGTGAGCCCCAGGATGTTGTTTCGGAGGAGGATGTTCCGGGGGTCGGTTAGGCCCCCTTTTTGGGTTGGTTTGGAGAGAAAGCCCAAAAAGGCGCCACCAGTTTGGGGGTTGTTCTGAAGAAAGACACATGTGGTAGAAAGTTCGGATAGTCCGAAAGTATCTATGGTCTTGAGGCTCAGTACCCGTGTTTTGGATGGTTTTAAAGGGAAACTATCTCCTTACCAAATGAGCTTAACACCGGCTCAAGAGCACCCGCTCATCACTGCGTATTTGCTTGCCAAATGATAATAGCACTTCCTCGCAGCACACACATCTAATTGCTAACTATAGGAGGACTGGCTGAAGTGCACCCGCGCAGCGCTGCATATCTGCCTGCCACAGAAGGACACTCACCTGCGCAACACTGCAGATCTCTTTGCCAAAATGATAAGACCACCGAGAAAGGAGTGCAGCCCTGCCAGTCAAGTCTAGGTCCCCCAGTAGTGCCCTTCTCTTTTTTTTGGGGGGGAGGGTTCCCCTATCAAAATAGACGATTCCGAAAAAAGTTGGTACCAACTTAACTTATTCTAACCTCTCAAATCTGGAGGACCTCAAAGTGCACATGGGAAGAAACCAGAAGTGAGCTGGGTGTCAACTGGTGGACCGAGCCCCGAGGCCGCCGGACTGCGGCTGGCAGGACTTGAAGGACTTCATGCGGGTGCGAGTCTTTAGATCCCGAAGCCGCGAAGGAAAGGGTCGGTTCGGTTCGGGGGAAGTTCAATGGTCCAGTGGACATCGAACAATATTTTAGTTTGGCCCACGGATTTTTTGGGGCCTCTGAATTCGGTGAAAGTCTTTTTCGACTCGGGGCGCTGAACTGGAAGTCTATGGACCTGAGAAAGTCGCTCGATCGACATGTCTGGGGACGGACTCTGACAGAGTTCCCATTCCGCAAGCGGCAAGTCTTGACCCTCTGTGTTTCTCCCTTTTGCCTGGGTGACTGGCAATTAATTCTGCCCGGGTTTGTTTTGGCACATGGGCCAACTTCCTGAGGGTTTCTTGGTCCACTTCAGATTCAAGTTGATTGGATTGCCCAATGAATCCTGGTTTATGTGTTTTTTTTTGGGGGGGCGTTGTCTCTCCTGGCTCGCGAGCCAGCTCCATTGACACCTTCCGTCTTGAAGCCAGTTGGACTGATCCCATGCATCCCAATAAATCGGCATCTCGGACAGATGTTGAAGGGCCAAAGCTGTTTTGCTTGTGCGATAGGGAATGTGGGAATGAACCTGGGGATTTCCTTAAATGAAGCCACCAGTTGGATGGCTTATAGGGGTTCCAATTCTCATTCCCTCATATTCGCAACAGCAAGCTTTACTGCCAATTGCCTACCCGATCCGGGCAACAAATTGCACTGGCCCGGTTGACGTCAAATCCTGCGAGTTGACATCACAAGGCGGCAAGGTGTGCTTTCTGCCAACCAAGCGAGCGTGAAGATTTCGAGGCGCATTGGCGCTTCCTTGCTAATTGATCCAACCATTCGCGTTCACAGCTTGTGGCTTCAGGATCCAACTTGCAACGACAGATTTCAGATTTCCACGGTTCCTAAGCAGGCTTGTGGGATTACTCGGGGTTTCTCCAACCACTTCTGTGATACAAGGGAATCCCCCTTCATAGAACAAAACAGTCTTTGGGAATCAATCCCTTTCTGTTGCATCACAGAAGTGGATTCCATTCCCAGCCCTGTTCCTAAGGTCTGAACGCTTTGAGAGACCTGGGCTCCGAATCTTCCGGTCTCCAAGCTTCCTTCCGAAGGTCTGGCCCAACTTGACAGCGCACGGTGACCGGTTTTGGAGTGGCTTCAAGCCTTTCGTTGCAAGAGGCGCCCTTTTCCCAATGCCCACTAGAAATTTTGTGAATCTTAAGGGCAGGTATTTGGCTAAGAATATGGTGTATTTCCCCTCTTGGCTTTAAAAGGGCAGTCGCCACTGGAAGCTCTTCTTATTTGTCCCGGGCGTATTCGCAGTTGGATTGGTTTCCCTGTTTCCGCTTCCTGAAGACTCGGCTCAGGTCGCAGGCCCTGTGGCCTTCGTGCAGGCCGGGATGGCAGAAGCTACTCCAAGGTCCGTGTCCCGTAAGCGGAAAAGAAAACTTCGGCCCCGGGATTCCGTGACCCTTCAATGTTTTTTGTTTTTTTTTTTTTAAGCCATGGTTTGGATGACTGGGTCCCCCCAGTACGTAGTGCCTTTTTACCCTTTTTTTGGGGAGGGATTCCCCTACTAAAATAGGCTACAGAAAAAAGTTGGTACCCTTATTCTAACCTCTCTACTGGACCTAGATGAGTAGATGAGTTTCATCCAAGTTGGCTCAACCATTCTTATGGAGGTTGAGCCTTGGGCTTCACCCCCCCCTTCCTGGCATGTTTTGCTAGTCATAGTTGGCTTCCCTTCAAACCAGCCTCAAAAAGGGCACCTTCATGGCAAAAAAGAGAAACACACTCCCGTAGTTCAACTCCCCACACAAAGCTTCCCAAGCAAGGGTTTGGTTTTGGCGTTCATTTACAATCTAACTTTGTCCCAACTTCTGCTTGTCGATCCATCGAGTCTTTGGAACAACCCTCGGAAAAAGCATGGGACTAGAGTTCAATTTCTCCCTACCTTGAGACCGGACGGAGTCCAAATATGGATGTGTCTTACACTCGTGAGCCTACACAGATCGTGTTTTTACTTTTGTTTTCTTTCTAACATAGGTCTAACAAGGGCACAGCTAAAGGGCAACTCTCTTGGCAGCCTGGAAGTGTTGGCAGCAAAGGAGGGGGTGGACTCCAATGATGCACATGTGCGAGTGTGTCTCTGTGTCTCTGTGTCTCTGTGTCCCTGTGTCCCTGTGTCCCTGTGTCTCTGTGTCTCTGTGTCTCTGTCTCTGTGTCTGTGTCTGCGTGTGTGTGTGTGTGTGTGTGGTTTCGTTTTGTGTTTTGCGTGTGTGTTCTAACTTCTCTTGGCACATACCCATGCTGTTCCTATGGCTTAATTCGGATTCAAAGTAGCCCAAACGCCCATGCGGGGGATGGCCATTGAATGACAACTACAGGATCAAGTAAATCAATTATTCAGGGCCTCGTCTCCTATGGAGGGCCAAGTTTTTCAGTTGATTTGCTTGGTGTGTCATGTTGTTTTGCTTTTCTCTGAGCCAGCAACACCAGCATCACCAGCAACGCTCTCAGCATGCCAGGCAGGGTATTGTTTTTATTCGCACAGTTTCTCTGTTCATGTCCTGAATTGTTTTTCGGGAGTGAGCTAACCCCCCCCCCCCCCCAAGTCGACCACCCAACTTTTTTAAGGGCCACTGTTCAGCTTTGCGATGCTCCCCCCCCCCCCAAAGTCAACCACCCCGTTTTTTTAAGGGCCACTGATCCTTGAACCCATGGCAAAAACCAAAAACCAATCCTGAAGGAACCCCAAGGAAGTCCACATGCCACTCTAAACCCACCCTGCGGCTTCTGGCGGGTTTTGGGACTTTTGGGGCTCGTATCGTTTCAAAACCCAAAACCACCACCTTCCACATCCTTCAACCACCAAACCCAACCTAAAGCACCACTGGATCTAGGCACCCTGAAACCCACAGCAACCTTCGAGCAAACAACAACATGAACAATCATAATAACATGAATCATCATAATAAACAAGAATAATAATTATGCTGATATTAGTAATGGTAATAGTAATGATGATAATGAAAATGATCATGCTAGTAGCAATAGGAATAACAATTATGCTGATAATAGTAGTGATAATATTAATGAGAATAATGATAATGATAATGGTAGTAGCAATAGGAATAACAATTATGCTGATAATAGTAGTGATAAGAGTAATGATAATAATGATAATGATAATGATAGTAGCAATGGGAATGATAATTATGCCGATAATAGTAGTGATAATAGTAATGAGAATAATGGTAATGATAGTAATTGTAGTAATATGAATGATAATTATGCTGAAAATAGTAATGGTAATAGTAATGATAGTAATGATAATGAAAATGATAGTAGCAATAGGAATGATAATTATGCTGATAATAGTAATGGTAATAGTAATTATAATAATGATAATGAAAATGATAGTAGCAATAGGAATGATAGTTATGCTGATAATAGTAATGGTAATAGTAATTATAATAATGATAATGAAAATGATAGTAGCAATATGAATTATAATTATGCTGATAATAGTAGTGATAATAGTAATGATAATAATGATAATGATAGTAATTGTAGTAATATGAATTATAATTATGCTGATAATAGTAGTGATAATAGTAATGAGAATAATGGTAATGATAGTAATTGTAGTAATATGAATGATAATTATGCTGAACATAGTATTGGTAATAGTAATGATAGTAATGATAATGAAAATGATAGTAGCAATAGGAATGATAATTATGCTGATAATAGTAGTGATAATAGTAATGAGAATAATGGTAATGATAGTAATTGTAGTAATATGAATGATAATTATGCTGAAAATAGAAATGGTAATAGTAATTATAATAATGATAATGAAAATGATAGTAGCAATATGAATTATAATTATGCTGATAATAGTAGTGATAATAGTAATGATAATAATGATAATGATAGTAATTGTAGTAATATGAATTATAATTATGCTGACAATAGTAGTGATAATAGTAGTGATAATAATGATAATGATAGTAATTGTAGTAATAGGAATGATCATTTTGCTGATAATAGTAGTGATAATAGTAGTGATAATAATGATAATGATAGTAATTGTAGTAATAGGAATGATCATTTTGCTGATAGTAATAGTATGTGATAATAGTATGATAGTAGTGATAATGATAGTAATTGTAGTAATAGGAATGATCATTTTGCTGATAATAGTAGTGATAATAGTAGTGATAATAATGATAATGATAGTAATTGTAGGAATGATCATTTTGCTGATAATAGTAGTGATAATAGTAGTGATAATAATGATAATGATAGTAATTGTAGTTTTAGGAATGATCATTTTGCTGATAATAGTAGTGATAATAGTAGTGATAATAATGATAATGATAGTAATTGTAGTAATAGGAATGATCATTTTGCTGATAATAGTAGTGATAATAGTACTGATAATCATTCTGAACAGGACATGCTGCCAGGTGAAAGGTGTGCCCGGCACGCCTGAAGCCTCCGTCAATCCCGCGGGGCCTGTGGGTGAGGCCGATTGAATCGGCCAAAGTTGGATTTCGTTTCGGACGTGGGAGACGAGACAGTTTTGCTACAGTAGCCTTTGGTCAGCTTGGTTTGCTTGGTTTGGTTTAACCTTGATTGGTTTGGTTTAGCTTTGCCTGTTCTACCTTGCCAGGCTTTGACCTTTCCAATAGGTGTTGATTCTAAAGGGTCAAGCTGGAGTGGAGCTCTGTCAGTGAGCGGGTAGCCAGGGTGCTATTTAGCCAGTGATAAACGCAACCGCTGCTTGAACTATCGGCGATTTTGTGTTTGGCGAGCTCAGCTGATAAAATGGGTAGGGGTCAACGTCGCCGCGCGCGCGGATTGATCAGGCAGTATTGAAGAATTTGTGCACTGCACCAGCCGCGTCATGATTGCTCCAGCAAGGCAATCGCGTTGCTTAAGCGGTGGTGTTTCCCACACATTCATCGCAAGTTGCCCTTAGATACGTGCCATGATCCAAGCACCTGGTCACTTAAGGCTGGTCATCATGAGGAATTTCGACAGCCACTACCTGGTTACCAGGGCACCATGACCCACGGGAGTTTTGGCCATAAGCGGAATATACTTCTTGCCCCCCATCCCAACGTCTTGGCCCCTGGACAGGGGCCCAGGATCCCAGAATCCCCAGATGCAGTCCACGATTGGCGCCTCCGAACTTTGTCTTTGGCTCCACACCCAAGTCCTTCAGTGACCGAAAGCTGCAGGTTGATTCCAACTATTCTTTGCAACAATCATTTTGCTCAAACACCAACACGGTTTCCCTATGTTTCTGGAGGTTTTCTGGAAAGAAGGATCCCAAGAATGTGGAAGAAATTCCCTGGGAAAAGCGTTTTTGTTGTGTGTGTGTGTGTGTGTTTTTTTTCCGCTCGCCGCCTGCGGTTTGAAGCAACTTGGTCTTGAGATTCTCAGACAGGATGCGTCATGACTGCGCATGGCCACAACCAAATCATTGCTTTGCCAATGTGTCCATGCGCGTGGTTTGAAGATGATGACAGCCGTTTCCTTTTGCTTACAGCCAACCGCACGCAACACACATTTTTTTTGGCTAGGAGGGTCTTTCCTTGATGCAGACCAGCGCGGCATCAAAACTTGAGCAAGTCCAGATGGGCTTATATACATCTATGCTTGCATCATCAACAACCTTCAACCGCGTTTCTCCCAATCGGGAACCACGAGGTTGTCGAGGAATCCGAAACTTCCTTGGTCAATCAGGCCCTAAATGATTCTTCCCCCCCCCCCAAAGAAAACAAACAAACCAAACACTCAACAAGATGTGTTTTTTTCCTACAGTACATACTCCACCCCAACAAAACACACAAAATTGATCAAGAGGTTTTGCCAAACGCCAAAAGGGACGCTTCATCCGGGGCCGGGGCTTTCGTTCGGATTTTTCTTCGGGCGCCATGAACCTGTCGCCGATGGCCTTCCCCATGTCGCCCTCTGCCAAGAAGAGCTGCGCGCCGCAGCGGGAGCACGGGGCGTCTTGGAGATTCGGAGATTCGGAGATTCGGAGATTTGGATGGGGTCGGATTCGCAGCTGCTTTTGTTTGCTCAAGAATACTTTTATTTTCCCTGGTTGGTTTTAAAGGGAATCTATCACTACTGAAAATGTTTGTTTATGTTTTTCTCGGGGGCTTAAGCAAATGGAAGGCTGTGACGTAGGCCCGGAGAATGCGCTGCTTAGGTATGTGGAAACCAGTGGGTAATCCAACAGAAACGTGGCAAAGATAGAGTGAGTTCCTACCCTGTTCGGCCTACCCTGTTCGGGTTTGGCAGAGAGGGATGCGACTTGTTTTTTTGCAGCATGGACCTGCTCTTGCCAAAGCAAAACCAGAGAGAAAAGAAGAGCGAGATTCTGGGACGATATTTGGAACCACAATGACCTGACAGCCACCAAATATGTTTGACATATCCTGGAACCGCAATGCCCTCACAAGCAAAGCTAAAAACTACTCGATGCACCGCGAAAACACGGCTAGGAAGCTGTTGGGGCCCTGGTCACTCGGAACATGGTTGCAGAGTATTGTGCCAGAATCTGTCTTTTTCGTTCTTCGGTTTCTCAAAGTGTTTTGCTTGGCAGGGGGAGGGGTTGTGCTTTTGAGGGTTTCAGGGCATTGTTCCAGAATCTTGTTTGTTTGTTGCTTATCTCATCTCCCAACTTCTCGTTGTTTTCTGTTTTCTTTATTCGGTTTTGACGGGTGTTTGGATTTGTTGTTTTGTTTAACAAAGTTGTTGTTTGTTGTTGTTTTTGGTGGTGTTGCAGGGATCCGGAGTTGATTTGTTCCTAGGGCTGGTCAATCAGAGCCAATAGGCAACTGCCGGGCCAAGTGAGGCTGGTGATGCTGAGGATGTTGCCAGCTAAAAGGAAAACCAGCTGCAGGATAGAAACCAGCCCTAGGAAAAATCAAATCAAAAACCACCTCTAGCTCCAAATCCCAACGATGAGCCGACCTGGATAGCCAAGTTCTGGTTTTTGCTCAGTCACCGCTGGTTTTTGGGGCGGCTATTTCGTGGCTGGACAAGAAAACGAAAAACAACCCACTTGGATCGCCTTCCGGGACAAATCTATCTCCACATCCTCTGCTTCCAAAAAAAGCCAGCCCCGCTACCTCCAACTCCTGACAACGAGCCGACATTTTGTTTTTTTGCGGCCATTTCGTGGATAGCCAAAAAGGGCGAGAACAAAAACAAAAAAAACAAAAACGCCGCCACGGGCTCGCTCCAGGTGGACTCGGGGGGGAGGCGTTAGACCTCGCCGTCGCCGAGGTCTACGTGAAGGCCAGCTACTCCTGCGGCGCCAGCCGCTTCTGCGTGAGCCAGGGCAGCGTGGTGGAGTTCACCGGCGCCCCTCGGGCCAGAGCGAGCGGAGCGAGCCGGTTGCGCTTGGGGGAGCTTGGGGGGGGCAAAAGAGAGACCCAGGTTCAGGGCGGTGACCTGGATCCACCAGTGGCCGATTTTGTTTGTTTCTGTTTCTCCTCTTTTTCTTTTTCCAGCTACTTTGGCCAAGTTGTGGGGTAAAGTGGCTGGAAAGCAGTGGCTACGGGGGGGCTAGCCCTGGCTAAGCCCGGGAGAAGCCAAGGATAAGGCCTTGATAAGGTCATATTCAGGGGGCAATATGAGCCTGTTTTGGGGGCCCATATCACCTGGGACGTTTGGGTCGTACGAATCTCCCAGCAAAATCAAAGAGATGTATTCCTAGTCGCAACTTTGGAGACCAAATGAAACAGGAGTCAGGGCTCCAACGGTGCTTCCCTTTGTGAAATCAACTTCGCCTTGCGGAGAGCCAACTTTTTTTAGACCAGTTGCCTTGGGTGTCGTGATGATGGGGACATAAAACAAGCCATTTTTGAGGAAGGGCACATGGATCGCCTTGGAAGTTCGGGAGGCAAGTCGTGCCGTCCAGTTGTCGGATTTTTTGTCAACCCTTTCATCCGAAAAACTCGGAGGATGTCCTTAAGGCATCTGAGTTTCCAGCCAATGAAGACTTGGCCCTCTTTCGGCACGATTCATCTTTCTCTTTTCTTTGGTTCTGGGGGTCTCCGGTCAGCATCTCTTTGAGTGGTCACTCGGTTCCCAAAATTTGGTCCGGCTCAAAGCTTGGGGAACTCCCCCGAGAACAATCGACCCCTTGAGTTGCCCTTTGTCCCAAGGAAATCCAGAGGTCCCTTGGATCTGGGTGAATTATAACGACCTCACACGACCGAATTCACCCCAAATGGTCGGTGTATGTGGGGAATGGCCCTAATTTCAGGTTGGTGAAATATTATTCTAGGAATACCTGGAAGCCGTTTGTGTTCAAGAAAAAGGGCGCGTAGCTGAAACCTGGGTTTACAGGTTATGAGCCCAAAGAGGACGCGGTGAAGCCATGGCGTCTCCAGGAGACCTCGGACGGCGAGAACCGGAAGAGGCGGAGGAGAGCCTGGAGCTGGTTGGGCAGGAGTTGGTGCCGGTTGGCGCCAAGGGCAAGGGGAACTCCGGTGGGAAGAGATCCGCGGAGGAGCTCGACACGCCAAGGAGGTCGACTTCGGGAAGAACGGCCCTTCAAGAAGGCTCCCGCGGTCGAGAAGGCAAAGGAGACGGAGAAGAACAATGGGCAGGTGGGCCACGTGGCGACCCTGTGGTTCTGGAACCCTTGTTCAATGAGGCCCAGATGGAGACCCTGACTCGGTGGCGGAGAGAAGCCCCCTTGATTCATGGCACCCGGATGGACCAAGAAAGACCTCGGCATCTACCTGAACCTATGGAGGCGGGTATGGAGCTGGCGGGCGCTACGAGCAGGATGTCGCCGGCGGCAAGAATGCCTGTGGAGAACCAGGAGTACGTGATGCGGCTGGTGAACGAGCTCATGGCGCAGAACCAGTGCCTGATGAGGGAGATTGAGAGCCTGAAGAACGGCAAGGCGGTGGAAGAGAGCTATGGTACCCCGGACAGTCGGGACAAGAGCAAGGTGCTTAGCATCGAGGACAAGAAGGGTGGGGACAACAGCCGGAAGCCCATGGAGGTGATGGGAGGTAACGTGGACGTGAGCTATGGCCAGAATGTGCGCGACCAGGGCATGAACCCGGACATGGCCAACGGCAAGAACAATGGAGGTGAACATGAAGATGATGATGAATCTTCATCAGAGCTGAGGCCGGCATCGGTGGCGGGCAGTGGAAAGAACGGGAAGCAGATGGACGTCATTCTGAAGCTGCTGGAGGGGATGCAGGCCATGCAACAGCAGTTGATGGGTGGTGCCGGGAAAGGAAATCAGGAGACGGTGGAGGTGGTTCGCCCTGGCATCACTGAGCTGCCGAAGCTGAGTGAACCTACGGCGGAGTCAGGCCCCATTGATCTGGGTGACTGGATGATCATCATAGAGCCGCTCCTCGCTGATTTGAGTGATTCGAGCGCTGAGTGGTGGCAGCTCATGGTCACCGAGGCCAAGGAATGGTATGCCCGCTACTTGCAGGAAGTCCCCATCAAGCGGATGAACATGATCCCGGAG